AATTCTACAGGATTTTTCTTGTCTTCGTTACAGACCACTACTGCGCATTTTCCTACGTTCGCCGACAGTCTCCATTTTCGGGTGTATCCTACGTACCGCCGCATCTATTTGTTCTTGCAACCCTTCTGGTGTTTCGGATACCCCCACGAAATCATCTGCAAACATCAGTCCGGACACACTCTTTCCCTCTACTTGGACTCCCTGTCTTACTGCTTCAACCGCCCTTATCAAATCGTTGATGTAAATCTTAAATAGAGTGGGTGACATCGTACAGCCCTGTGCGACTCCTTGGAGTATATCCACGTACTTCGGAATTTCCCCATCCAACATCACCGCACTTCTTGTGCATTCTGTCATCTTTTTGAACATCCTCCACATTTTCCCCCGGATGCCGATGTCCCACATCTTTTTTCCACAATCCATTGCGCCATACGGTGTCGTAGGCTTTTTGTACATCTAGGAAGAAACAGTATTTCGTACGCCCGGCGTCTTTCCTACCTTGGATAATTTTACTCAAACGTATATTCATGGTCTACACAACTACGATCTGGTCTAAATCCAGCTTGTCGTTGATCTTTTGTTTCCCCTCCAACATGTCTCCCATTCTATTGTCTATCATCTTTCCAACAGTTTCCCCACTGTGCTCAACAGGGTTATCCCTCTATAATTCCCCGGGTCAGCTTTATCCCCCTTTTTGAACAGGTTCACGACTACTCCTTCTCTCCATCTCTTCGGCGCGTACTCGTGTTTCCATATCCAGTTGAATATCCGGACCAACATGTTAATCATCCCCTCCCCCCCCTGTTTCAAAAGCTCGTTCACAATTCCATCAGCCCCTGCCGCTTTTCTATTCTTGAGTTTCGCTACGCAGTCCTCTACCTCTTCTCGTGTGAACTCTCCCTGCAACCCGTCTACATCACTACGTTCCCTCTGAGATCTTTCAACGTTTTCCTCTGCCCACGAGTTGATTTCCTTCTCAAACTCCGAGTCGAAGTTGTCGTTGGTGGTGGGTGTCCCAAGTTTGCGGTAGTGCTCTACTAGTACTTCCCTCTTTCCTTTAGAACTGCTTACCATCTTACCCTCGGCAGATCTTAGTGTCATTATTTCCGTGTCTCCCCCTCTTTTTCCCAGGGGGGGGGGGGGGAAGGGCGTACTCTTAAGTTTTGGATGCCATAATGGCTAAACCATGGACCATGCCTCCTTCCAAAAGAAGGAACATTGTTCCCACAGGAACCAACACCCATCACCCAAGGCCAAACCTTCCTTCCTGCTTTGCCACATGTGGCTCCCAAAAGTCTTCCAATGGTGGTGGTGGTGGCCGGGGGCGGGGGGGCTCTCCAAAGGGAACTCACTACCATGGTAACACCCGTCGGGCCACCAAAAAAGCCGAAAAAAAAGCACCAATCTTGCAAGCTGTCATCCCGACCGCGGGCCCCAAAAATGCCTGAAGTCCCCGGTCGTGTGAAGTCCCCCGTCCCCAAGACAGTTTCAAAAA